CTGCTTCCTCTCCACCTCAGCGAAGGAAGTTGTCTCCTCTCCCACGAACAAGCACATCTCATTGTCGTTGTAATTCGCCTCCACCTCCTTGGTTGTGTCCCACATGTTCTACAATGTGCGGTACCGGTGCGGTGCCTCCGAGTCGGTGGACGTCTCCGATGCGCCAGTGGGTGGTGAGGCATGTTCAACGCCTGTAGGTATTGAGATCGGTGTCGCATATGTCGGGGACGCAGGTGAGGGCGTGCCGACCGCACTCTGTGGCATGGACGGCTCGGCGCCGGGTGAGGCCACCGTGTTGTGCGTGCTCGGAGTGTCCGCCAACTCCACCCGGGCACTAGGCATGGCCGCGGGCACCAGCTTGATGGTGAAGGAGTCCATCCCCTCACCTTGTGCCTCCATGACAGAACTTCAATCCCACGACACGTTCTCGTCGAACATGACATCTCGGGAGACATGGGCATGCCCCAAGGGAGGGTGGAAGACACGGATAGGCTGCTGAACCTGGCTCGTACCCCAGGAACACCACGGGCACGCTCCGATCAACAAGCTTCTTCACATTCGGGCGTGTCACTTTCACATGAGCGACGCACCCGAAAGTGCGAAAATGCTGGATGCTGGGCCGGCTCCCGCCCCACGCCTGGTATGGTGTCATGCCAGCCACGCTCTTCATCGTAGCCCTGTTGAGCAGGTGCACGGTCGTCGTCACGACCTCTCCCTAGAAGCGTGCCGGGACGCTCTTGGCCTTGAGTAGACTCCGCGCCATGCCAACGATGGTCTGGTCGCGACGCTCCACCATGCCGCTCTGTTGTGGCGTGTACGGGGTGGTGAGATACCGGTGCACCCCCAGTTCTGCGAAAAACTCGCCAGGGCTGGTGGAATTGAATTCGTCCCCGCGATCGGTGTGCAAGGTCTTGAGGCGGTGACCGGACTCACGCTTTGCAGCCTCCTGAAATTGCTGGAGCATCGTTTCCGCCTCGCCCTTCATCGTGAATAGGCATAGCCACATGGAGTGGGTCTTGTCATCGACGAGCAGGAGGAAGTACCACTTCCCTCCCGACATAGCAGGGAAGATAGGACCACACAGATCTGCATGCACCAGCTCGAGCACCTCCCCAGCGCAGTTCAGGGCTTGGCGGGGAAAAGGAGCTCGACGGTGCTTGCCCACCAGGCACGCCTTGCAGACGCGATCCACCTCGTTGAGGAGGGGCAGACCGTGCACCATTTCCTCTCGTGCGAGTTATCAGAGCGCCTGGAAGCCGATGCGGTCGTAGCGCACGTGCCACAGCCATGCATCCTCGCCGGCATGCACCACGAGGCACATACAAGCGCCCGTGGTTGTGCTGCACTCGCACGAGCAGCCGCCAACCTGGATCGCGCAGCTGCGGCATGCCATGGGATATGTGCGCCTCGTAGACGTCCTCGTCAGCTAGCCTATGCTGACTATATTGCTGCACAAGTTGGGGGGTGTAATATACCTCTGACAGGACTAAATGCTCAGCGTTGAGGCATTGGAATAGAATGTTCCTCTACCCTCGATCTGTAGCGCTGATTCGTCGCCCTGCTTGATAGAGATGCACAAGCCACAGTCCAGCTCGGAGAAAATCTCCCGCCGCCCGGACATATGGTTGCTGGCGCCTGTGTCCAGGAACCAAGAGGTGCCGCATCCTCGACCGTCCGGCGTGGGGCGTGCCTGGGAGCGCTCCTCATTGAGCATGATGTGCTCCCCAGTTGTCTCCATGGTCGGGGTGAGCACACACAGGCTCGCCAGGAGGAGCGTGGAATCCTCGGTCCCTCCCTCTACCAGGTGCGCCTGCTCCTTGCGCTCGCGCTAGTGCTCGGTGTAGTCCCGCGAGAAGTGCCCCGGCTTGTTGCAGTTGTAGAACTTCACCTTGCTCGTGTCGCGGCCGCTGCTGCGACCGCTAGAGCCGTCGGAGCTGCCGGTGTTCTGAGGTGGGTGAGAGTCATTCCTCCGCCCCTGATTCTTCCCATGGGGGTTGTTCTGTCCGTCGCCGTTGCCTCCGCCGCCGCCGGACCCTTGGCCGCTCTAGCGCGCTTGTTTGCGCACCTCCTGCTGCTGCTGAGTGAGATACAGCTTCCCGCCACTTTGGCTCGGTGCGGGCGCGGCACAATGCTCCTCGGCGGTCCCAACCGGCCAATGTGCTCCTCAGCTGAGATCGTCGTTAGGTTGAGAAGCGTCTCGATCGCCACTGCGATCTGTGTGTAACGTGAGGGGACCACACGCAACAGCTTATGCACGACACATACCTCCTCGACGTTGTCGCCAATGGTGCGCAGCTGGTTGACGAGGCTAGTGATGCACATCGCAAAGGCGTCGAGGGTCTCACCGTCATGGAAGGCGATCTGCTCGAATTCCGCACAGAGTCGGTCTACGATTGCCTCGTGCACGTGGTGCACCCACATGTGCATGACCTGGATGGTGTCCCAGGCCGCCTTGGCATTCTCCATGACGACGAGGATGCCGAGCATCTCTGGCGGAACGGCTCGGAGAAGAATTGCGAGCGCTGACTTGTCGTCACGCACGTGTTGTGTGTTGCCTGCCTCGATCGCGTCCCAGAGCCCCCAGGACTCCAGGTGAACCTTCATGACCAGCGACCACTCGATGTAGTTTCTGGACGTGAGCGTTGGGAACGTGGATCGCCTTTTCAGTTTAAAAAAAATAAAAGAAAATGATGAAAATGTCAAAAAAATAAAAAAATAAGTTTCTCATGTGATATGTGGTCTAGTTGTTGGGAAAATTTGCAAATGTGAATTTTGACTTTATTTGCAAAATCTCTCTAGAATTTAGTTAAATGGGCATAACTTTTGCATAGTAACTCAGATGAAAAAGTTACATCCAAATTTAACGGGGAACCCCGTTAAACATTTTCAAAATCCTCAAAAACCTAACAGAAAAAAGTTATGAGGCTTTTAAGATCTAGAGTGGAAAAATCGAAAAGATTTCAAACTGTGGTCAAATTGTGGTCAAACAATGGTCAAACTAATTATTCTAGAATATTAGTGTCACTAAATAATTATTTCAGTTATTTTGAATTTTGGTCAAATCTGGTCAAACTGTGGTCAAACAATGGTCAAACTAATTATTCAAGAAATATTAGTGTTACTAAATAATTATTGTTATTTAAAACAATAGTTTCAAACTCAAACAGTGAAATGTGTCACTTCATGCTCAAGCAAAATTCCTGAAGGTTAATAGGATTGCCATCTTACTATTGTCAGGAAAACAACAAGTGCAGACTTGGAAACGAGGGAGAATAGAACCCGGAAGTTAATCTTGCTCAGGCTGGGGGAGTGGGAGGATGGGTGACCGTTGGGGAAGTTAGATGATTTGGAATGATGAGGGGTGATTAGAGATTAGAGGATAAATTGAGCAGTGATGAGGGGTGGTGATTAGAGATTAGAGGTTAAAATAATTCAGAAATTTAAAAATAAAAAAAATTCAAAAAAAATCATAAAATTTCATTTAGTCCCGGTTGGTGTTACCAACCGGGACTAGAGGTGGAGCTCCACGTGGCCGCGGCCTTTAGTCCCGGTTCGTTTAAGAACCGGGACTAAAGGGGAGAGGCATTAGTAACGACCCTTTAGTCCCGGTTCAAAAACCGGAACTAAAGGGTCTTACCAACCGGGACTAGTGGGGGGTTTTCTACTAGTGCGCGGCTGCGCTCCCGTGGTGGAGTCGCCGAGCGGCTTGGGCCGCCCCTGCCTACGCTGAGGGGTGCCGCCGCCGCCGCCACCGTTGTCGCTGCCGCTACTGCCTCGTGGTCCGGCTGCTCTTCGTTGTCGGACATGATCGTGAGGTCGCAAAACGAGGTTTTGAATCAATGAAAAAAATAGCGCGCTATAGCAAAATAGCGGCAACCTTAAAATATGCTATTGGCGTGCTATATCGCGCTATAGCGTGCTATTAGCGAGACGTTGTACACCGATATATTTAACGAGGTAATTCTCAATACGCTATAGCGTGCTATTTTTTTCAGTGATTTGAATACCACTTGCTAGGAAACTAGGCTCGCTGAGACAGGTGTTTTGCATCGCGTGCAACATTGCGATTTTTCTGTTTTTCTTCCTATGCTATTAATTCGTTACAACGAAAGAGATGCAGGTGGCGATCGTAATTATGCGCCACGATCCGCAGGATTCGCGCCATCCCACGAGAGCCGATCGTGCCTCCTAATCACCTGCTAAGCTACCAGGCCGAACGACGCGACAACTTCGATCTACATGCCCATGCAAGGGTACGTGCATGGCACGCACACATCACGGCTCATGCGTACTTGCTTATTTGTCGGAAAAACAAACTAAGCTAAGCACAACGACCAGATTAGCTAACACAGCTCCGACGTGCACGGTTGCAACTTCGCCGTCGAAGAGCGTGGCTGATTGCTGAACGGTTGCAGCTCTTTGCCGGGCGGCGTCGCTGGATGCAGCTCGACCAACTTCTTGTTACAGCTCTGCCAACCGCTGGTTCCAGCTCCCGTGGCCCCTGATTTGTCGCTGAGTGTGGTGCCTCGAGCTGGAAGGAAATCACGGCAGCTCGTCCATGGCCATGGCGTTGGGTGCTTTTCCCAGCTGAGATGCGTTTTGGGAGGAAGAAGAAGGCGCTGGAGCAGAGAGATAAAAAGGGGAAGAGGATAAGAAGCAAAGGGGGCGGCTGAGCTGGACAGGTCGAGAGAGATAAAAAGGGGAAGAGGATAAGAAGCAAAGGGGGCGGCTCAGCTGGACAGGTCGCGTGGTACGCGTGGCCCCTCAGTGCTCGCATCGGCGATGCGCCCAAGTTTAGGCCGGCGTGTAGACGCGCAACGTTTTCCTATTTATTTTTATTTTTTCCACTGTTGCACTTTTTGATACACATATGGTACAAAGTAACAACCTCTAATAAAATATAAGACGTCACCAAAAAAAATCTTATATTTTTGTTACAAATGGAGTATTAATTAGCTGCAATGATTATTCAAGTCTCAAAATGAAGGAACTGAATTCTCCTAACAAGCGTGGAGCAACGGGGTGTCGGTGTACGGGCCGTTGAGCACCCCATTGGCGATAACATTGTACGCCTTCTCCGTCATGTGGATCTGGTCCCAGTTGGCGAACCTTGATGGGTCGGGGCAGACCTTCGCCTTCTGGTCGCACAAATGGCCTGTGCCATAGGGGCCATCGCCACCACAACACGCTACCAAAGGCTTGTCAATGCCATTCCTGCTAGGATTCTTGACGAACTCCATGAAGGCACCGTAGTAGTCGCCGTAGATGATCTTCACGCCGGGGTTCTGTGACTTGAGCTTGCTGATCTCTTGTTTCAGTAGCTGGTTGTGCATCTGGGAGAATGCGTTGAACCACTTGAGGCAACCGAACTGGTCGTAGTCCGTGGCCGTGTTGCTCTTGTAATCTCTGAGGTAAACCGGCACGCACCCAATGGGGAAGTTCCCCGGGACAAGGACAGTCCTAGCACCAAGCTTGATCACCTCTTGGACACCGGCGCCTATGCGGGCAACCACGTCCGGTATGTACTCCTGGGCCGTGTCCCGGCTGTGTGTACGATCGAAGAACCAGAAGTTGTAGTCGTTGCCACCAATCTCGCCGAAGACGACTAGGGATTCGCTCATGAGACTCTTGGTGGCAGCTATTCACAGACAAAAAAAAAGAATAAGTTGACCAGGAACACATATACATGTGCATGCAGACACGTGGCTAATTAGAACATGATAAGCTGACTGTAACGTATGTTTTTGCATGCGTTACGTACCATCTCCCGGAGCAATCCGTGCGAGCACTCTCTTGAAAGAAGCCAGCTGCTCGTCGAGGCACCCGCGCTGCAGACTGAAGTTATACCTTGACATGAAGTACATGGGGTTGAGCGCAATAGAGCCAAACACGGCGAAGTTGGCACCGGTCTGGAACTTCCCCGTCTTCTCCTCGGGAATGCTCGGCGGCAGCAACGGCAGGCCGAACGCTTGCGCTGACACAACATCAGGCACAAAATTTAGCATGCGTACGAAACTCGGACTGTTGGAACACACACGCATGCATGTACGTACTGACCGTAGAAGTCGATGATGAGACGCCCATCGGAGGCACGGCCCGTGGGGTTGTGGAAGTAGGTCTCTCCATAAGGGGGCACTGAGGGCGGACCCGGCGGACTGTTGCGGGTGATGTACGCGAAGTTGCCGGTGTCCGTTATGGATGAAAGATATGAAGCGTTCCTACTCCATCGAGGGAGCCGCGTGGTAGTTTATATTGATGTGTGGCCGAAGCCTGGCTTGACGTACAAGGTTATGACAGAAAGAGTTTGGGTAGAATACAAGAGAAGGAAGGAGGTTGAGATTACAACTCTATATTCTAACACCCTCCCTTAATCTCAACTAACCTAAGTTAAGATTACTCTTGAATTCTTCAAATGGTCTTGCTGGTAGTGCTTTTGTAAAACCGTCAGCCACTTGATCCTTAGAAGGAATAAATCGAATCTCAAGTTTCCTTGCCGCAACCCTTTCTCGTACAAAGTGAAAATCAATTTCTATGTGCTTTGTCCTGGCATGGAACACTGGATTTGCAGAAAGATATGTTGCTCCCAAATTATCACACCATAAACATGAGATACGATTCTTCTTGATTCCCAATTCCTCAAGAAGTGATTCAACCCAAATGATCTCAGCAGTTGCATTAGCCAAAGACTTGTATTCAGCTTCTGTACTTGAGCGTGACACAGTAGCTTGCTTTCTAGCACTCCAGGAGATAAGATTAGATCCAAAGAACACTGCAAAACCTCCAGTTGATCTTCTGTCGTCACTACATCCTGCCCAGTCAGCATCAGAGAATGCACTCACAAGAGAAGAATTAGACCGTTTGAAATGAAGTCCTATTCCCATAGTATGTTTCACATATCTCACAATCCTCTTGACAGCTGACCAATGTGCAGAAGTAGGTGCATGAAGATATTGACAAACCTTGTTGATAGCAAATGAGATATCTGGACGTGTGAGAGTTAAATATTGTAGTGCTCCCACAGTACTCCTATACCTTGTACTCTCCTCCTCTTGAAGTGGCTCACCTCATATGCTGAGAGACTTTCTGAGGAGGATAAAGGTGTAGGCATTGGCTTGCAATTTTTCATCCCCATGCGAGACAGAAGCTCAAGAATATATTTTTCCTGATTTAACACAATACCATCTTGAGTTTTCTTGACTTCAATACCCAAGAAGAAATGCAAATCACCTAGGTCCTTCAAGGCAAACTCTGAGCTCAAATCATGCAAAAGAGCATTAGTAGCATTTTGTGAAGAACTTGCAACTATGATATCATCAACATATATAAGCACAAAAAAGACTACTCCTGCCTTGTTATAAATAAACAAGGATATGTCAGCCTTGGAAGCAACAAAGCCAAGATATTTTAACTGTGAGCTCAATCTGGAATACCATGCTCTGGGTGCTTGCTTTAGACCATAGAGTGCTTTATCAAGCTTGCAGACATACTGTGGCAATTTCTTACTCTCATACCCAGGTGGTTGTCTCATAAACACTTCCTCTTCCAGAACACCGTGCAGAAACGCATTCTGTACATCTAGCTGCCTTAAACTCCATCCTCTGGATACAGCAATGGCTAACACAAGTCTGATAGTTGCAGCTTTCACAACGGGACTAAAGGTGTCCTCATAGTCAATGCCATAACGTTGCTTAAAGCCCTTTGCAACTAGACGTGCCTTATATCTGTCAATGGAGCCATCTGCCTTCTTCTTAATTCTATACACCCATTTGCAATCAATAATATTTTTACCTCTCTGATTTGGTACAAGATGCCAAGTCTTATTCCTCATGAGCGCAGAATACTCCTCATCCATTGCCTTTTTCCATTTAGGATCATCAAGTGCATTCTTCAACGATGTTGGTTCTCCTGAAATACACAACATTCCATATGGTATAGTTCCATCTTTCCTAATTTTAGGATTCCGTATACCTTTCTGTAGCCGGGTCATAACACGTGAAGAAACCTCTCGCTGCACCGCTGGTATACTTGCCACAGAAGATCCAGGAGAATCTGCTGATGCAGTGGACTGATTTGTCGTCATATGCGCAGGGGATCCTGTGGCTTCTGGTGTGGCTGCCCCGTCTGCAGGCACTGGCGCAGAGGATCCGCCACCCGACCGCGACTGGAGGCGCGCGTGGTGCAGGGAGGATCTTGTCCCGCCGCTGGTCCCGCCTGACGCTGGCGCGCAGGGCGAGGGGGATTCGGCCCCGCTGCTGGTCCCGCCTGAAGCTGACGCGGCAGCACGGGAGTGGCCCGCCCTGGATCCAGGATTGGAGCCATCAGGGGCTTGATCCGAGGCGGATGCGGTCGCGTGATCCGAGATCTGCGCGCGTGCAGGGGTGGCAGGCGCCGCCAGATCTTCTTCGTCATCTGTGCCAGCTTCGTCTCCTTCCTCAGCATGAAATATAGGATCAAAACCAGCCATATTTTCGAGATCTTGGTCATTTTGAGCACCGTTTTCTCTAGGGACCTGCACAGGCATAAGAGAAAGACCAGTACCAGCAGGAATATCATCACATTGGTTAGTACAATTGTTGTCGCCCCCATGATCAAAAGACCGAAGATGTGAAGGAAGAAGAAGAATTTCTTTGCGGAGAAGTGCACCAGCATTAGGATGAAGGGATGCAAAGGGAAACACGGACTCATCAAATACAACATCTCTGGATATATACACCCGACCAGTAGGAACATCAAGGCACTTGACCCCTTTATGCATGGGGCTATAGCCTAAAAAGACACACCGTTTTGAGCGGAAAGCGAGTTTGCGTGTGTTGTAAGGCCTAAGATTGGGCCAACAGGCACAACCAAAAATACGAAGAGATGTATAGTTGGATGTGACACCAAGAAGTCGTGTAATGGGTGTTTCAAATTTGATAACTTTACTTGGAAGCAAGTTGATGAGATATGTAGCAGTTAAGAATGCTTCATCCCAAAATTTAAGCGGCATGGAAGCATTTGCTAACAAGGCAAGCCCCATATCAACTATGTGATGGTGCTTTCTTTCAGCGGATCCATTTTGTTGGTGAGCATGAGGACAAGATACATGGTGTGATATGCCAAGCTTTTGAAAGAAAGAATTTAGTTTTTCATACTCACCACCCCAGTCACTTTGCATAGCAATGATTTTAGAGTTCAGTTTGCGTTCAACAAGATTTTGGAAATTGAGGAAAACTTGGAATACATCAGATCGCTTTTTCAACAGATAAATCCAAGTAAATTTACTATAGTCATCAATAAAACTTACATAATAGGAAAATCTACCAACTGAAATAGAAGCTGGCCCCCATACATCTGAAAAGATAAGTTGTAAAGGGGCAGTAGACACACTAGTAGAAATTGGGTAAGGTAATTGATGACTTTTTGCTTGTTGACACGGATCACAAACTGACTCACTACTAGGCTCATAAGAGAGTTTATTTTTGCTAAGAACATATCTAACTATGACTGAAGATGGATGACCTAAAAGACTATGCCACCTTGATGTAGATAGCTTGGTGACAATATTTGCTTGTTTATTGGACCATGAAGATGATGATGATGATAATGATATGAGTGGGTAGAGTCCTCCCAAGCACCGTCCTCTAAGAATGACTCTCCTTGTTTTCAAGTCCTTAACCAAGAAAAAATAAGGATAGAATTCAATAAGAACATTGTTATCAAGAGTGAATGGATGAACCGAAACAAGATTTTTAGAGGTTTGAGGAACATGCAAGACATTGGTCAAGTGTAAATTTTTCACGGGGGTTTTAACAATTGAACTACCAATGTGTGTGATATCCATACCAGAACCGCTTGCCGTGCGAATTTGGTCGCCTCCATTGTACTTCTCCCGCATCATCAACTTGTCAAGTTCACCTGTGATGTGGTTTGTTGCTGCACTGTCGGCGTACCAGTTGGTGTCCACGCCATAGGAGACTGCATGCACCTGCTTTTCTTCCTGGTCGTTTTCTTCATAACGCCACCAGCAAACTCGTGCACCTCCTGGATGGTGTCTGTAGCATATCTGACATTCTGGATAGTCATGCTGTTGCTCACGAGCCTGCTGTTGCTGTTGCTGTCGAGGACGGCCTCTGAATCCGCCGCCTCCATTGGAGGAAGACGACTGTCGGTCACCGCGGTCACCACGATCACCACGACCACAACCTCTTCCTCCACGCCCGCGAGATCTGCCACGGGACTGGCCACGGCCTCTGTAGACCGCATTAGCGGATGAATAGAACCCGCCTGAAGATGAGTCGCCTAGCATCTCCATCCTTTGATCAAAGGCAGCAATCTGGGCAAAAAGATCGTCGGCTGTGATGATGTTTTTGACAGCGCCGATCGCCGCCACCACGGGGTCGTAGTCGCGGTCCAGTCCGGCCAGAATATAGTCCACCATCTCTGGATCAGATACGGGACGACCTGCAACAGCTAGTTCATCCCCAAGACTTTTCATCTTCGCCATATACGCCGAGCTTGACATCGAGCCCTTCTTGGTATTGGTGATGGCGATTCTCAGATTAGTAATCCGAGACTGAGATTGTGAGGCGAAGAGATTTGTCACCGTCGTCCAGAGCTCAAAGGTGGAATCTTTCCCAACAACTTGTGCAAGAATTTCTTGAGACATGGAATTGAGAAGGTATGATAGAACCTGCTGATCTTTGGCGATCCAGGGTCCGTATAGGGGATTCGGCTCTAGGGCCGTGGTCTTGTCTGCCTTCGTGATCTCCACCAACTTGGGTGGAGCGGCATCGGTGTTGTCCAGGAGCCCCGTCACCTGCGCGCCTCGCAGGGCTGGGAGGACCTGCGTCTTCCAGAGGATGAAATTATTTCTTGCGAGCTTCTC